GAGAACTGACGTTGGGAATGGGGGAGCGTATGCAGAAGGGACCATCCCTACAACGGACTGCCGATGTGCCGTTTAAGCTTGAAGAACAAGAGGTGCCTTCCTGACATTACTTCGAGCCAGTGACCACATGTTACATCTCGAGCGGAGGTTGACTCGAAGTTCTGCAGAGCTCCCGGAGGTTTGGGAGCATGCCGCCCCCAAACTTTGCATGAGCCATGCCATTTTTTGCAACCCTACACCCTAAACCCTAAGCCCTAATGTGTCGATGCAGAGGTCAACTACCTGGAGCTCGGTCTTTGCAGGACTTTCTCGAAGAACGGTACCCAAGCAACCCTAGGGACATACAAGAATTCTTAACGGATGTCCCTAGTATACATTATATGGGTTTCTCTGACATTGGGAAGCCTAAAACCTAAACCCTCAAACCTAAAACCTAAACCCGGTAATGTAATAGTTTCCATTTTGTTTTCCATTATCCCTACATAAGTCCCCCTATCCCCCTTAAACGTTGTGAGTCATGCCAGGCCAAAGCCCATGCTCTTACCTACTCCCCATGGTATAGCAGAGTAGCCCACATGTGTCTGAAAACCTACTTCTTATTCGTGTCTAGGGGACCCTAGATCATTGCGTGTGAGTTCTTGGGGACCCTAATCTCCAAACCTCGTGTTTCTGGCTTGAGGTGTCTTCTATGACTGTCTGCAGAAAGCTTTGGGGAACGATGTGACGGAGGAGAGTTTTGATGAGCGCTTTAGCTGCATGAACTACAACGGCGGTTTAGGGTTCAGGGTTTAGGGCTCAGAGTCCACATGCAAAAAGGGCTTAGGGTGGCGAGCATGCCTTCGTGTTGCGTGAGCAGCTGAGTGGATGTCCTTTAACTTTAGAATGAAATAGCCGAAATAGCAGTTTTAGAGTTGAACAGTGCCCCCGCCCGGTAACAGCCGGATAGCAATTAGTAGATGGTTATACAAAGCCCTGAATGTTACCACTATTGCAGGCAGTACCCGATGCATAAGCCCCCAACGCTAAACCCCAAATACCTAAACCCTAGCCCCTAAACCCTGACCCACACATACCTAGACCGTAAAACCTGCTAAACCCTAAGGCGTAAACGCCCAACCCTAAAACTCAAACACTAAAGCCTAACCCCAAACCTTGAATCCTACACCCTGAATTACAGCCTAAACCCGAAACCCCAGAACCCAAACCCTAAATCCTAAACCCTAAATAGCAGTTTCCATTTTCTTTTCCATTATCCTTAGATAACGCCAATACAGCAACTTGGGCCCTAAATCCCTGACTTTGCCGGAGGCTTTGCTTCGAGTTTGGCCTCGAGCTGGATGATGTCACCTCTCAGAAAGAGATGGTGCCTAGTCACGATGGGAGTTGGATGCTACAAGGGTGTAGGGATTAGGGTTTATAGTCCCCCTTGAGTAGATAGAATATGGGGTACATGGGTATCTTGTTATAATATACCCAAAACCATATTCTATCTACTTGAGGTGGACTATAGAGGTTTAAGGCTCGAGGGTCCCTGTTTCGGGGTAGATTATGATTCTTTTGGGGTGAAGTACGAAGGCCGTTCTAGGATCTGTTGGACTAGGGTCTACACGTGTTAGGTTTTCGGAGTCCCTGTATTTTGGGGCATATCTGAAATATTTTTGAGGGAGGGATACGGGTTCAGGGTTGGTGGATACATGAAGGCAGTTGCCGGGTTTTTGTCGGATACATGGGGTTTCTGTTATAGTGCATAGTGAATTTGCTTTAGTCACTTTAGTCTTTCCAAGAATGGGACCTTGTTTGCGGGCTACTCTAACCCTAAAACCCTAAACCCTAAACCCACTTAAAGATGTTTACCTCCTACTCTTCCAACGCAAGGCTTGGAATTCTGTAAATTCAAGCTTGAAACACTCAAACCCTAAACCTTGGGTCCTGCCCCCGCCAAGCAACAGTCGGATAATATTCACATTGTAGTTATAAATAGCCCTTATTATTACTCCTAAGGCTGTTACTGGGTGGGGGCAGAACCCAACCTAAACCCATAACCCCTAGACCCTTAAGCCCTAATCCCTTAAACCATGGGGTTTAGCCTCACGAGGTTGAGAATGTGGGCTTTGGGGGTTGTCATTGGGGTAAAGTAGACAATAACCCTAAAACCACACGGTATTGAAACAGAGGTTGGAGAACTCCCTGTACCAAAGTGCAGCTCTACAGGGTTTAGACCCATCCATAAACCTAAAACCCTAAGCCCTTGTTTTGTTCTTCTTAACTGAGGCGGTGCTGGTTGCAAGGGTCATCATACACCGGCCTCCTAAAGATCCGGATTACCTTACCTTTGGTTAGAGGGGGTGGAAATGAACATGGAAACTAACTGTGATAATGGGTGTGGGGCTTAGGGAATGAATTTAATGGAAAAGAACATGGAAACTACTATAATGGAGTATGTATATATATACATATACAGGGGCTACTAGAAGGATTTATTCCTTCATTCCCAGCTAACCAAAGGTAAGTTATCCCCTCTATCCTTCAGTGCCTGGCAAATAGCCCTACCGAATTCTGAGCAGCTAGCACTTGGCAGCGTGCACTGTTGAGGCCTCAAAGGAGGAACTCAGAATTTTTGAGAGTTCAACGCAGGAGCTTGCAACTAAAATGGTTTCTTCAACTGGGCTTAGGGTTTAGAGTAATGAGCTCCCATTTCTCGGCATTACCTCCAAAGAAGTTGACAGCCGAACCGGTCTCCTTGACCGACAGCCTCTGAATCACGATAAATTGTCCTGCAACAAAGGCCTTTATCCTTGAAAGTCCAGGCCCAAATCTACCAAGCCCCGACGGTCCTAAGCACCAGATCCTTCACCTCTGAAATGCCACCGCCATACCCCTACTAAGTTCGTCGGAGCTTTTTTTTGAGTACATGGCCTTTCGTTAGGAAGGAAGCCCCGAACCCTAAGCCTTGACCTCAATATGCATCCCAAACAAACCCTAAACCCTGAACCCTAAACCCTAACCCAAAACCCTAAAAGCCTTTGGAAGGTGGAGAAGGAGCGAGGTAAAGATGCCGCAGCCGACCTTAGCGAAGCTCACCCCACAGTGTCCTAAAGCTGGGCCTTTTGTGTGTTCAAATAGGGTTATACGGGGCCTTATAGGGGGATACCAGGTTATGCAAAAACCTATGTACAGATGTACATATGTATAAATATATATATACACATCTTATATCATGCATATAAATACATGATAGAGGTGCATATACTTAGAATTTTGTTCCCGTAGAATCCTGACATGAGTGTCACTTAGTATACGCCAGGTTGTTTTTGGGCTCAAGGTTTTGCGTTTAGAGCTTGGGACTTGTGGTTGCTTGGTTTCCGACAAAAATCGTTTGGATTTGTATTGTACTTAGGGCATAGCTTCCTGACATTGAATATCCCCAGAACCCTGTTCTACGTATTTCGCACCTCGCATTACTTGCATCCAAATTCGGGCTGACAAGTTGGTGCTAGAATCACAAGCCACCAATGAAAGCCTTGTTTCGATGATTGCCTAAACCCTAACCCCTAAACTCTAAATAGTTGTTTCGGTTTTCTTTTCCGTTATTCTAACCCCTACACCCTAAACCCTCAAGTCGGTCTAGTAGTTTCCATTTCTTTTCCATTATCCTAACCCCTAAACCCTAATAACACCCATCCCAAAGCCTAAACCCTGTAGCTGGCTTCTCGAAAGCATGAGCCACTGGCTGGTTGTGCTAAAGGGACAGTGAGTGTGCAGCTTCCTATCTTCGTCCCTTTTGGGTTTGGGGTTCAGGGATTAGGAATTCGGGTTTAGGTTTTTGGACTCGGCTATACTAATACCTATACTCACTCCTGAGCCCCGCACCCCCAGTATCACTCGTAGCTCCTAATCACAAAATGGGTGTTGAGGGGTCAGGATTAGGCTTGATCCCTATAAAATCCCAGATTTATCCTTATGTAGCACTTATTTACCCCCATAACGGTCCCTTAGACCCGAATCCCTAAACCTAAGCCCCAAGACCCTAAAGCTGCGATGTTGGCGGCTTCAGGGTTAGTTAATGAGGGAAATTATGGGCGATCAACGGGAGGGGTTGTACGCGGATGGTTATTTTTGATTCGGTAAGAGGAGCACTGGGGTCACTCCGACTAGTCCAAAATAAGGACTCTTGTGACCAATATATTCTAGGCTTCTTTTTAAAGGGGTTGGTGTAAGTAAGCGAAAGCAGTTTAGCAAGAGATGCTTCATTACTTGCTTTAAGGATAGGAGCCATTGTCTAAACTTCTTAAAGGGGATTATGTACAGAGTTATATGTGGGACTACTATAAGGGTTCTTAAAGGGGATGCTAGGAGTTGAGACTATAGCTCATATGTGGTAATGTTCTTAGTCTTGTCATCACTTCCCAGAGCAATCGAGAATATTATCTTCATCTGGGTCTAGCAGTCTCTGGTGATTATAGTCCCCCTTAAGTACATAGAAAATGGGTTATATGGAGATCTTTTTATAATATACCCAAAGCCATATTCTATCTACTTAAGGGGGGGCTATATACCCTAAACCCTAAACCCTAAATAGTAGTTTCCATTTTCTTTTCCATCATCCCTATATAACCCCTATATTCTATCTACTTAAGGGGGACGGTAAGTCTCAGGTGTTTGTGTTTGTTGACTGACGTTGAGGTTTCCAGAGGTGCCGTGTAGCAAGTGCTGGAATGCCACGATCCTCAGATGGCGGGTTTCAAAGATGAGGGGCCTCCTCCTTGGGGGGATCACAAAACGGACCACCAAACAAAAACCTTGCAGCTTAGGTTGGGCTTGCTTGATTCGATGCATGTTAGAAACCCATTGCAGCTGCAGTTTCTTAGTCTGTCGTGAGGCGGGGCAAGGCACGGCAAGTGAGCGCTATTTACAGGATATGTAGGGCTGGAACCATCTTGAACAAGTTCTCCAGCTTGTTTGAAGATCTACAGTGCACCTGAAAACCCCCCTAAAAAACAATGAAGCCGTCCGAGGATCGCGTAATCTTCAAGGTGGATGTGCCCGCCAATCGGTATGACCTTTTGTGCATCGAGGGCCTCGTGCGGGCCCTGCAGGTTTTCAAAGGAGCCGCATCACATGCATGCACATGCTTTCGGTTATGTTGCGTGGTAAACTACAGGGCTACGCCAACAAATTTTTTGCCACAGACACGCAAGCCTTTAAAGGAGTCATACCAACGCCGCTTTACAAGCTGTCGATGCCAAAGCCTTTGCCGCAGATGACAATGATGCTGGGGCAGGTTTGGAAGGAAACTGCTTTCTACTACAACAATGCCATCTAAGTCCGACACGAGCAGCTACAAAAAGAAGAGACATTAGTTATAGACTAGAAGACAAGGCCTCAGGACTCAGCACCTTCCCGGCCGGGATGCAGGAAGCAACGTCAAATTTCTCTACGGGCTTTCTACCTGTCGAACCCTTAACAATGGACATAGGGGTCCCTCTTGTAGTTTAGCATGGTCTTGAGTATATTCCCTGATAAGGAACCCATGTCCATTAAACCAGGTAGGAAATATTGATTATAGGTCAAATAACTCCCTCAGAATCTACCCTTACCCTAAACCCGCAAGCCGCAGACATCCCAGCTGAGGACAGTGAAGAAAGAGACGGCACAGATTCGACCCTTCGTCGTCTGTGCCATTCTCCGGAATGTGAGCTTTGACAAGGAAACTATGGCCTTACTTCGGCAATTTGTTTTGTAGGTCTGATGGTTTCACGCAACTTGTTTTTGTAGATTGTAGAGTTGACGGATCAAGGGTTATAGGATTTACTTACTTTGGCCAAGTGTTTTTGGTAGGTTTGAAGGTTCAAGGGTTAGGGTTTCCCTGGGGCCGAGAGAACTTGCATGTTTTGGCTTATCTACTTTGAAAGCAGAGGACGTAGACTAGACGAGGTAGAGTCCAGGTATTTGTAAGGTACTTGTAGAGTCCAGGAAGGGCGGCATCCCTAAATCCTAAGCGCCCTAAACCTATGTCCTTATTCCCTTACCCCTAAACTCTACAGTAATCAACCTAAACCTTCATCCTTACTTCCTTAACCCAGACCCTAATCCCTAAACCATACTCATCAAACATTCAACCCGAAACGCTGAACCCTAAACCGTAATCCCTAAACCCTAAACCGCGAGCACGGCACAGAATCGGATGCACTTAGCAAAACTCGGAGTTTTCCAAAACGAGGGGTCTTCGTTTGAAGAAAACTTTGGGATGTATGGGACTTGTGCGTTTCCGAAACTATACATACCCTAAACACTTTATCCCTATGCCCTAAACCCTCAATCCCTAAACCCCGAAACCCTCATCCCTAAATCCTAGGCCCTAAATCCCTGAATTCCTAAGCCCTAAACCTTACATCCTAAACACTGAACCCCTAAACTCTAAACTCTAATCCCTAAACCCTGAACCCACGTCCCCAACTTGGTAGTAGCATACTGTTTGATCCTCTCATTTTTGGCTGGGAGCATTGCAGAACCTGACTGAGGGTTTAGTGTTTAAGGGTACTAGGGTTTAGTGTTTAGGGTTTTAGGATTTTAGAGTTTAGGGTTCTTGGGATTTAGGGTTTAGGAATTAGGGGTATGGAAGACCCTTCATGTGAGCTATAGTCTAAGCTCCTGAAAGTAGGGGATTATCTTGGGATGATTGAGGGGGTTACTAGCAGTGTAGAGTATAGCTCCTATATGCTGCCACCTGCACAGTTGCCCTACAATGAGCCTAGGTCAACCTTATCAACTCACAACTTACTGCTTGTTAGTAGGGAATGTACTCCCTACATAGCCCCAGAACATATGCACATTTTCCTACTACGCCCCAATAAGATCAAGAAAGCAGCCAAGGACAGATATGATAGCTTTATCGAGCTGCAGGACAAGCTGCACCAGAACATCTGCAGCTGTTTTGCATTCCTCTAAACCATAAATCCTAAACCCTAAAACCCTAAACCCCTAAACCCTAAAACCCTAAACCCCCAAAACCCTAAACCCCTAAAACCGTAAAACCCTAAACCCTAAACCCTAAAGCTGGCGAGGTTCTTGGGCTTCCTGACAGTTGGCCAACGGAAAAAAAAGGTGAGTAGTATTTTCATTTGGGGATACTAGGGTTTAGGGTTTAGGGTTGAGGGTTACTATGGTACCCATTATTGAGTAAGATTCTATTCTCCTTTTGGGGTATAGTATTTACGCTACTCAGGTGAGGTTAAAGCTCACAAGCCATCCACAACCCCATCGACGTCTTTTCATGAAGGTCTGGTGTGGGTGTTAGCCAACGCTATAGGGGCCCCCAGAAGTATTTCATTTTTGATCATTTTTGGTTCTTACAATCCAAATAAAAATCAAAAAATGTTTTTTCAGTTGGGTTTTCAGGCCAGTTTAGAACATCCTGCGAAGAATCCCAGGAAGTACCACCTTCTGCCTCTAGTCTACAGGCCTACCTTGACGCTCCAATGTCCCTAAAACCTAAACCCTACCTTTTTAGGTTTAAGGGTTTAGGGTTAGGGCGTTCCGATAAGAATCCTGGCCCAAAATTTGCACCAAGTAAAAACAATCACGTTGGAGGGTCCTAATAATTCCTTAACCCAATCTACCCAGCCGCCCTATAGGCCCTTTTTCGGCTATAGATGTATATTTCTGTCTACCTACACATATATGTATATACACATATTCTTATACGTATAAACTTACATATGAAAATATGCTTATATACCATGGTGTATCTCGCTAGATATGTGTATGTATTTACCCTGCGGTTGAAACAGCAAAGGCAGAAGACGGACGCTTGTGGCCATCGGAACCCATGATCTGTCGACCCTGAAACCGCCCTTCACCTATGAGGCGGCCTCAATAAGAAGCGCGATTGTGGGGATGATGATGGTGATGCTGGACAGTAGTGCTCGGGTTGTGGCAATCATTCGGTAGATGTGTTTACTGGGTTGCTGTTAAAGGGCTTAAATAAAGTTACCTATATGAGTATATATAGTAATTAATATGGTTTCCCCAATATAGTAATTTACAGTAATTTCTTAACGGCGGAGGGATTGCAACGTGCGTGTATGAGCTATAGTCTCAACTCCATAAAGAGGGTTATAGATGGGTTTAGGGATTAGAGTTGAGGGTCTAAACTCTTTAAATGAGGGTTATTTAGGGGATTACAGTCAGGAGTAGTATAGGGGTTCTGCAGGGGGATACTAGGAGTTTAGACTAGCCCATATGCCCCCAAATATACCCTATTCCTTGTCATGGGAGCCCCTAAAAAGGCACCTTTTGGAAATTGAATTCTTAGCACCCTATCTAACCCCATACCCCTAAACTCTTAACCCTGGATCCATTATGGTTGACCTCAAGCCCTCTTCCTTAAACCTCAAAAACCCTAAACCCTAAGCCCTGAAACCATGTGCTGGAGGCTTTGCCTCCGAACAAGATCTTGTTCACACCGCTGAACCAGACTGAAGAGACACCTTGCAGTATTTTGAGATTTCTAAAATCTTTAAAAGGGGGATACAAGGGCTATGTGAATCTAAACGCCTTAAAGGAGGTTGTATAGGAGACTATTTTAGGGCTAATGAAGGGCACTAGGGATTAAGATTATAGCTCATATACTGATACAGCAGGATTCAGGATTTAGGGATCAGGGTTTAGGCGCCAGGTTGGAGAATCAACTGGAAAATGGAACATAGAAATGGAAGCCAGGGTTATCTAGGGTGTTACTGGGTAGGCCCCTAGGATATTTGATGTTTTCCCTAATGGCTTTAATAAGGGACCCTATATATTAATATTTTTCAAAGGGTTTTAGGGGCCAACCCAGGTTAGGGAAGTAGTTTCTGCCCATACCAATCACACATTCAGGGCCTCTTGCTATTCCACAGCTCCCTACAGAGTATACAGACCCCCGCGCATTCTGCGTGACAGAGGGCGTCTCAAGAGATTCACAGTGGGGTTCCCCACCTCGTGCTGTTTGAGAAGGGGATTCTCTTCTGTTTAAAGTCCAGGTAGTTTGAAGGGATGGCCTGTTTGGCCATATGCCTGTGGGGAAGCTACTCTATTTGTGGGGGCTGCAACCCTGCCGATCTGGAGGGATCGCATTGTTAGATGAAGCAGTAGGATGCTCCTGGGGGGAAGCAGTGGACACGGTGAGATTCTATCAGAGACCTTAGGAGAATTCCATGTAATTGTTTCCAGGATACTTTCAGGCCGTGCTGGGTAGGCTCAGGGGCATTGTAAGAGTGGCTACGGGATATAGAACTGTTCGGGGAAGAGCAATGTGGAAGCTGGGACAACATCTGATATTCTTTCCCTCAAGTCCTTTGAACCAGGTTCGCGCCCAAAAGCACCAAACACCACATTCTAGTGATTACGGCACCAGCTGTAATCATTAAGGCCTTACGGCCCAGCATCTTGTTCTTTGTTCAGCTCTTCGATTGAATCACAAGAAGCAAGCTTCACGGGACACCTACGTAGGTGTTAAGTAGACACGGAATCTCCTTGTGGCGAACCCGGGGCCTGCATGACCACTCACCTCAGTTACCTCAGTTCTGTGTTTGGGACAGACCTCTGGCTTCTGTTTACTCCTTGGGACCTTCCCTTATACTCCTATTCTAGGTACCTAGGGTTAACCCTTAGTACGGGTCCTAAGTGCCGAGGAGTTTAGTGGATCCACTCGGAAAAGGATGGATTCGGGTTTGGGGTTTTTAGCGGATGGATATGGGTAGCAGTTGGCTGGGCTGCTGTTAAGGAACTTAATTTAAGTTACTATATTGGGGAAACCATTTCATTACTATATTCACTCATTATGGTTGCTTAGTTTAAGTTCCTTAACAGCACCCCAGTTTAGGGTGTAGGGTTTCCAACTCCAAAAGTTAGGATCCTGCAGCCGTCATCTGACTTTCGTGGGAGTACACGTGATTTTGGGGCCGGGCTTGCCAATAACTACGTCTTTGTACTTCCATAACCCTCTATGGATGGAATTTCCAGATTTTGTCCACTTGGTTTTTTTTTTATCATATTTTTAAATTTTGCACCCCGCAGTTGAACCCGTCAGAAGAACCTCAAAGCCTACAGTCTCCCTGCAGAAGCCCCGCCCCTCTACCCCTTCCATAAAGGATTCTACGTATGATCAAAAAAGCCAAGGGTGGACAGGGCCCTGAAGCCTAAGTCCTAAATCCCGCCCATCAAGCCCTACACCCTAAGCCCCCTAAATCCTAAACCTGAACCCTAAACCCTAAATAGTAGTTTCCATGTTCTTTGCTATTATCCCCATGTAAGCCCTATAAAGCCCCTGTATAACCCCAATATAAACCTTAAGAAAACCCTGAACCCCCATCAATCAATCCTCCACCATTCAGCTAAGGATGGACGGGAACAGGATGATGGAAGTCTTGTCTGGCCACCAGCAGCTCAAAACGTATTTGCCCATCATTCGGGACAGTCCTGCCTCTTGGAAGGTTTTTGGTTTAGGATTTTAGGGTTTGGGATTTAGGGTTTAGGGTTTGAGGGTTTAGGATTCAGGGATTCAGTGTTGAAGGTCAGAATTGAGCACCTCAGGAAAAAGGGTTTCGGGTTCTCAGGGTTTGGGTTAGGGATGACTGGGCAAAGTACCACAACCTTACCCTAATTAGGGTGGTTTACATAGTTAAACAGTCCCCAATTTACCGAAACCCTATCAGAATGTCCATGGTGAACCGTTTTTGGGGCCCGGCAGACTCAGCAACCAGGGTTCTTGGGATGGTAGGGATGTCAGGCTTTGAGTTCGGGTTTTGGGATGGACACTACTCTATAATATTAGGGAATACATAGGGGTTATATAGGGATAATGCAAGGGAACATGGAAACCACTACGTTCTAGGGGTTGTATTATGTTAGGCTTTCTCGGGTTTACAGCTGAAAAAAGAGAGGGAGCTTACTGAGGCGTTGAGGATGATGAGGTTGAAGAAAGTATTAGGGTTTGGGCAAGGTCCTGGGAGATGTTTCTTGCTGGTCTCATCCGTTGACCTTCGAAATCGTGACGCCTGCTTGAGGGTATAGGGCCTGTAGCCTCTTTTAACCCTAAACCCGAAACCCTAAACCCTAAATCTGAGTTGGGAGTGTCCAAGCATGGGTGATTTGCCTTTCCAGGCTCTCTTGAGGGTTCATTAATTCCCGCATTCTGGTTCCTGCTGTGGAGGAAAGTGCCAAATTGTGCACAAGCAACTACAGTATAAGCTCTGATAGCTCGTAGACCCTTAGCCAGAAGCATGATGGACCCAAGTGAGCCATAGTCTAAACTCCTTAAGGGGGTTATACAGGGGATAATATTGGGACTATTATAGGGGTTACTAAGGGGGATACTAAGAGTTTAGACGATAGCTCAAGTGTATTCTGGGTTACTCCCTCACTGCGTGCGGCAACTGCCAAGAGAAACGGGTAGCTGCAGTGGCAATGGCCCCAACTTCAGATCCAGAAGCGGTTTAGGGTCCAGGGTTTAGGGTTGGGTTTATAAGGGTTTAGGGTTTAGGGTCATATACCTTGACTAAGAACCTTCTCTCTAAGGCAATTTCAGGACGGGAGTCACCATGTAGGGAGCTTGCATAAGCCTTGTATACCCAATATGTAACTCCCCATTTTGCCTATATCCCCCTTATAAATTTGGTCCTAGTTCTCCGAGGTCTATCCAGTGATTTACGACAGCAATCGGGTGGTACTCTCTTTGCCTCCGATCATCAACGGAGAGCATTCAAAGATCAAGCTCGAGACTAAGGACCCGCAGGGTGTAGGGTTCCAAGTTATAGGGTTAAGGGATTTTAGGGGTTTAGGGGTTTAGGAAAGCCTGAGTAATTACAAGTATTCTGGTCCTAGATTCCCTGTGTTTTTCTAGTTTGCGACACCTCAAACACATGTAGGTAGCTAACTAGGCACCTGCAGTATGTTTTGCTTGTGGGCGTTAAGGTAGTTTCAAGGCCCAGGGTTCCCCGACAGCAGCTTGCTGCAGTTGAGTGCAAGGCGAGATGTCAGTCTAAAGCTAGACTAGACCCTAAACACTAAACCCGGTAGCTTAGGACAAGCCCTGGGAACAACGTGTTCATAGAGAAATCCCCTGACTCGCCTGCACACGATCCCTACTATTGATCTTAAAAACCCCCCATGACTAGGTATAGCATGCATCAGGTACCGTGCCATAATTCTCAAGGTATAAGGCATTCGGAGTCATGCGGAATCTTCCGTACCCACCACGCTTCATCAAGAGGATGTGTTTATCGAGTGCACCGCCACAGATCTCACAAAGGCCAACATTGTGCTCAACACTGTGGCGCGTCCTACGGCAAGGGGTGTAGCGTTGTGTATTTTCACGGTTTAGGGTTTGGGGGGTAGTAATATTCAGGGAAGGGAAATAGGTTTTATTTATGGTTTAGAACCTCGAACCCTAAGTCTTGCAGTGTAGGAGCTAGTGTTCCACAAACCTCACCAGGCCTGCAGATACAAAGCACTAAGCACCTTTGAGTGTTCCTGTTTTCCATCCGTTCTTTTTTCTGAAGACCGCCCAAAAACTGTAAAGACAGTCGCAAACTGTTTGAACATGCTGCTTGAGTCCGTTGCAAAGACCAACTATTTGATGACCCTCAGCTCCAAACGTTACACAGGCCCTAAACCCTAATCCCTAGACCCCAAACACCGCGCTCAGGTGGTGGCCATGTTTGCTGAGTATTGCAAGGAGCCTTTTGTCGCCGAGCCTGTGGAGGTTATCTATGAGAGCGACTACCCTGGGAACAGTTCCTGCGCCGACAGTTTAGGGTTTAAGGTTTATGCTCCCCCGTTTTGGGTTTATTATAGTAAGATCCCCATATACCCCATATTCTATCTACTTAAGGGTGCCTATAGGGTATAGGGTTTTGGGAGTGGGATTTGGGCTCAGGATCTTTTCTACTTTTGGGTCGGATCTACTTGAGCAATGGCGCGCTTTGTACTTTATTAGGTGCGTGGGTCAAGCCTAAACCCTAAACCTTAAAATGACTGACTAACGAACTAACTAACTAAGTAAATAAACAAACCCTAAACCCTAAACCGCACGGATCCTTGTGTCTTCCCACGCCAAGAGAGACTAAGGCTTCATCAAGCCAGGCGACAAGAAGCTTTACCCTGCCTTAGAGCCTGAGGCTGATTCTGGGGGATGGGTTGGGGTTTAGGGTTTAGGGTTGAGGGATGATACTGTTGATACAAAAAATCCTGCATGACCTTAACTTGCCATAGTACCATAATTCCCAAGGTAGAAGGTACTTAGGGTCATGCAGAAGTGTTAGTATCCCCTGTAGAGGTGCCAGCGGGATGATAGGGGTGTCCCCTTTGAGGGATTCTGTAGTTGTGAAAATCTCCCCGGCCGGTATGGAACTGGGTGCTTTCGAAGTATACACTCCCCCAAACTAACATGGAAATCCATATAGCCCCCCTTTAAAAGGACTGTAGTCTTTATGTGGCCCTTTTTGGGTTTCCATGTTAGTTTCCGGGAGTGTAAGGTTTTCAATGTCGTTGGGCAACTTTCGAGCTAAGCTCAAGACCCCAAAGGTTTTAGGGTTTTAGGGGTTTGGGGTTTAGGGGTTTAGGGTTTAAGGTCTGGGATTTAGGGGTTTAGGGTTTAGGGTTTTAGGGTCTGGGGTTTAGGGTTACAGTGAGGTTTTAGGGTTTAGGTTTTGGCTTTTAGGGCTTGACGTTTCGGGGTTAAGGTTTTAAGGTTTAGGGTTTAAGCCATCCCTTCACGATCGAGCCTATGGCGCTCTTGAAAAAGCCCCTACAAAGAAATCCAAATATGATCCCCAGATCAGCCACTAAACCCTAAAACCTAAACCGCGACTTGACAACACTGAGCCTCAGAACCCTGCAGCGACAAGTTGGAACATGCAAGGCAGATGATTTATGCTATTTCCTAAACCCTCAACCCTAAACCATGAATTATTATGTTGTCCTTGTTTCTAAGGATTGGAGTAGGAGGGTACTAATGATCCAGCTTTCGGGCTTTCAGCACAATCCTTCATCCGTGCGGTCCTACATCCCGCAACCCTACAACCACATCAAGTTGCAAAACCTAAGCCCCAAATTCCTAACCCTACACCCTAAACCCCAAATTCTGCAATCCAAACCTTAAAATTCTCAAAAACAATTTTAACAAGTCTCTAGGGGCTCAGGGTTAAGGGGATGCCACCGCTCAGTAAGTCTATAGTCATAACCCCTTTAAGCCACGTTGTAACCCCAGTTATCCAATTTGGGGTTTAGGGTTTAGGGCCCACATATGCAGTGCCCCTGACCCTAAGCCCTAATCCCTAAATAATATAGAAGCTTCCATCTTGTTTCCCATTGCTAAGCTATTTAAACTTTACAGTCAGCTTAGGAGCCACGGCCCATGTCAGCCAAGATCAGCCGGATGAAGCTTAGATGTCATCCGTAACTGTTTTTTGGTTCAGGGTTCAGGTGCACCGTAGGGACTTTAGGGGTGTTATCCGTAGGGTTTGTCGGAGAGAGAGAGAGAGAGACAGATATATATATATATATATGTATATATATATACACATATATAGACATATTGAAAGAGATAAATAAAGGATTTGGGTTTACCCTCTCCCAAAAATCATGGACACTGGCTAGGACAGTAGTCTTAGAGTACCCGTTTGGGTTTCCATGTTCGTTCGGAGAGGGTAGCTGTTAGCCTTTGCAGTTTAAGCGCTTTAAGGTATAAAGCCTAATACGCACAGCTTCCGAAGGTAGACACCCCGCCCCACACCCTAAACCCAAATCCTAAACCCTAAACCCAACCCTAAACCGAATATAGACCCCAATATGTTATAAACGGTTGGGTAGGGACCCCCCCATCACAAATCCTGGCCTTAGCCTAGTCTAAGAAAGGATTCCCATGAAAAGGGCTCAGGGGTCAGGGATGGGCCCTCGGGGCTGAGGGTTTAGGGTTTAAGGTTGAGGTTTAGGGTTTATTTAGGGTTTTTAGGGTTTAGAGTTTGGAGCTTAGGGTTTAGAGCTTGGAGTTTGGGGTATAGGGTTTGGGGATTTCGTATTGGGTAGAGATGAAGGACCGCTACGCCAAATCCATGGGACCTCCCAGATGAATCTAATAGGCTAAGCTGCGGTCAAAATCTGCAGCCGGAAATCCTACACCCAAAGCTCTCAATCTAAGACCCGCCCGAAAAGCCATGTATCTCCTAAACCTAAAGCTCGAAGAATCATACACCCTAAAGCCTTAAACCCTAGACTCTAAGATCCCAGATGCTGGACACCTAAGGAAGGCTTCGCTTGGCTTAGAAAAGCTGAGTGGCACGCAGGCATGGGTTAGATTTGAACCCTTAGCCCTAAACCCCAAATTGAAGACTAGGTAGGGACCCTAGTTACAACCAAATGAGAAAGGAAGATGAGGGGGACATATAGGGAGGGTTGAGGGTTTAGGGTTTAGGGCTTAGTGTAGGGAAACAGCAAGTTATAGCCAGGAATGGGGGGTTCAAACCAAAAGCAGAGGGATATGTTTTTGACGCTGGGATTACAGGCTGGTATATTGGGTTTTTGGCCTAGCCATAACATATCTTATAGAATCTTACAGTTACTATCAGAGATGACACTAACGTTTCGTCATATGCCTGCTAAGTTTGAGGATGGGTTTTCAGATTCTGGGGTTTGGGGTCTAGGGCTGGGGTCTCAGGGTTCAGGATTTAGAATTTCCCTTTTGGGGTTTGCTTTAGGATTTAGGGTTTACGGGTTTAGGACTTGGATTTTGGAGTTCATGGCTTCAGGGCTTGGAGTTTAGGGTTTAGGGTTGTCGCTAAAAAGCCTGGGAACCTGCATCCTCTGCCTTAATGCCAGAGTGTACAAACGCTACAAGCAAGAGAGGTGGATTCCGTAGAGTCCCAGGAGGGAATTTTGATGCCGCAGGTTTTGGAGTCGGGGGCGGGGAGTTTGCTTGTGCATTCAGGCTGTCGCGTTTTGTTTTCGGGGTTGAGGTTTTGGGGAGGCTCCTTACTGGCAAGCTTATTAGAAACATCTGGAGATGAACTGAAAACTTTGGCTGTCGATTGGGATCTATGTGGCGGTGAATAGAGGTTCTTTTCACTTCAGTCCCAGACGTACGGAGGGGTCATTCTGGATGAAGTTTATAGATTGGGACTTATGAGCTATAGTCTAAACTCCTAGTATCCCCCTTAATAACCCCCATAGTAGTCCCCAATATAAGTCCCTATATAACCCCCCCTTTAAGGAGTTTAGACTATAGCTCTTATGGCTTCTTGACACCTGGCGGGGGATTGAAGGGCCTGCTGGTAGGTGCCGGGTTTCATGCCCCGCGTGCTCTTGTCGCGGCTGTCACCTGCACGTCACGGACAAACTCGTACCCCAGTACAAAGCTCTCCCAGTAGCTGTTTTTAGAGGGGTGTTTATGCGGGTTTTGTGGCAGCTGTTATTGTAAGGGGAAAGACTCACCGCCCGCCCACGTAATACCACAAGTGGGAGTGCTTGATAATTTGCAGGGTGTCTCCTAGTAGGGGGACGAGCTGAGCTTAGACGGAAGGAATCGTGCTCCCGATTTAAACTTTGTTTGATCTCATTTCCTTCAAGGTGTAGGACTTCTTGCAATCCAACCCTAAACCCTATATACCCTAACCCCAAAAACCCTGAAAACGGGAGGTCCGGGACTACTTGCGAAAGATGAGCATGCCATGCGAGATCAACGGGAAGGACCCCGATGCCTTGGATGTTCAGGTCCCTATCACAAGGAGCACCTGGCCTGGGTCATTATTGGTATAAGGATTCTACAGGGGTTATGTAGGGTTATGTAGAGATTACATGGGGGTTAGACGGGTTATACAGGAGGCATATAGGGATTATGTGGGGTGATATAGGGCTAATATAGGGCTTATATGGGGTTATGTGAGTTATGTGGTGACTTTCTCCAACTTTTCTTACTCTACTAAGAGGATTTATCTGCAACAAAATTAGAAGCAGTTTCCCTTTGCGCGTCAAGCCAGAGGCCAGGGTCTTGCTTCGTTCTCCTTTTTAAGATTAAGTGGGTTCTTGTAATAGTCAGTCGTTGTGCAATCCCTCGAATTTCTACCTACATTCGCTCCCCGACTGCCCTTTAATGAAGCACCAGCAAGTCCATGAGCAGCAGAAGTGCAATGCAGAATGGCTTGTACAGTTGCAAGACCAATCGGCTAGACAAAGCAGTGACAGAAAACGCGCCTACCAGTAACCAAGAAGAAGTGAGATTACCGTCCGGGTAGTGCACCCCTCAAAATGTTGTCTGCAAGCCTGACAGAGGTGGCCATAGGCACAGGAAGATTCTCTGTAAGAACTTCCCATCTTGGGTACTGCCCCCACTCATGAACAGTTGGATAAGATTTATAATATGATTGTATATAGGCCTTCATATGACCCCTATTCTGGACTGTTCGTGCGGGGGGGCAGGAACCAAAGCCTATAAACTATAAACCCTGAACCTGAAAGAACCCCCCAACGTTATGCAAACCCAGCAGAGGTGACATTATGCATGAGTGCGACCTCATTGAAGACCTGGCTATAGCAGCTTTGCGCTGAATGGCTTTGAGTGCTCACCTCGAGGGGCTTAGGGGTTTAGGGTTTAGGATGGTTTAGGGCTACTATGTAGTTATTTTTGGGATGGCTTGTTAACATTCGTTTTCGGGTAAGGGATGAAAAGATACTACCCGAAAGGAACTTCGTAGGAGGTTCTGGGTTTTGGGTTGGTGGGACTGCCTGGAGATCCCAGTTGACTGTAATTTGGCTCTGGTACGCGCTTGTACACGAATTTAGGGCGGAGGAGAGTATGGTATAGAGTTTAGTTTAGGGGGCTTCGGATGTACCCAGGCTTCCGCAAGCAATAATCCTTGGCTCAGCTGCAGTTTTTTTGCGGAACAGACGGGAATCAGAAGTGTTTGGAGTTAGGAACAGTGTGTGGCGGCGAAGGGCAGGTGGGGTAGGCAGCCAGGTGTTTTAGGGTTTTGTATACCTTGATGATTCAGAACAGGAGATGTATGTTTCAGAGACATAGCCTTCCTTCAGGGATACTCCATCAGCTCTCATGGTCCAGGAGACCCGAAACCTTAAATTCACTTAAGTTGGGCCCTTAGAGCTTCGAGGGAATTTCCTCCCTAAACGATGGTAGGTGAAAGCATCAACAAACAGGGCCCCGAAGCAAATCAAGATCGCACACCGTAGGGCGCATGCCTAGAGATCCTGGGGTTTAGGGTTTGGGGTTGAGGGCTTAGGGTAGTTGACTATAACTGTTCAAGGGCACATAATAGGTTTGATATGGAATTCCATGGTCGGTAGGACTTTGGACAGGGAATCCCGCTTGATTCTTTCGCTCCTGACCGAATGTGACGCAGAATCCGCCTGGAAAGCCTAGAGCCCTAAGCCCGAAAATCCTAAGGCCGCAACCATGGAGCCGTGAACTGGGTTGCTGTTCAGGAATTTGAAGTTAAGGTCCCGGAAGATGGGGGTGTTGATAGATAATCGGGTTTCCGTAGTTACTATAGTAGCTCTAGACCCTAAACAGTATAGTAACTCAATGCAAGCTCCTTAACAGCAACCCGGTAGTCCTCCCAACCCTTCTACACAGTTTAGGGTTTGGGGTTTTAGGGCTTCCGTCTTGTAGTTACCCTAAACCCTAAATTAGTAGCTTCTTGTAGTAACTCTAAACCCTAAATTAGTAGCATAATTGAGTTCCCTCTACACGGTTAAGGGCTTTACGGCCTGCTCTTGTTAAATGCCGCGTTGCACGCCAATGGGTGCAGAGCGACAGGTTGAGGCATTCTGAATGTTACTTACACACCTGTGCGCATTTTTTTTTTGGGAGTGAAGGGGGGGGGGGCGGTGTGGGGGTTAGCGTTTAGGAATTAGGGTTTAG